TTTAAAAAAGTAATTATAAAAAAGTGTGATTGAAAAATTATGCGGAACTTCTGAAGAAAAAATTAATTATATTCATTAAATATGTAGTTCAAAAAAATTGTTAAGTATTTTTAATTGAAAAAAATTAATTATAATAATTACAAAATACAATTTTTAAAAATCGTTAAGAATTCGCAAAAAAAAGAAAGTTATAATTATAAAAATATATGATACAAAAATATGATACACATCACCAATCAACTCCTCCTCATCAGTAAATAAATCCTCCTCACTGCCTACTCTTTATCACTATCAGGAATTATACGATTTTGGCTCATTTTATCTGCTTCGAAAATCACCTTTTCATTTTTCAGTCATTCCATGTATTCACTATTCGGAGGTTAGGAGGTAGGTGATGCGCATGCGCGTCATGCGTTATTTCGGGTTTTAGTTGAGTGTGGGTAGGCGCTCGAAACCCGCTACTTTCGGTTGAATATAGTTAACTGAAACCCATGCGGTTACACGCATGAATCATATAAAAATTATTTGACAACCGTAGGCACCTACGGTGCTGAGAAAAAAATCAATCAATCTGATAAATAAAATCAATATTCAAAAAATGTTCAAATGCACACTTGAATAGTTACTTGAAAATTGGAAAATTTCGTGCTCAGAGATTGAATCAGGGCTCGAGAACAATAAGACTCCCCTTTTGAAAAGTGAAAATCAAGTCTAACAAGGTTCCACAAATGTGCATTTGTTAACTATTAACGAATGAACATTTGGTGAGACCAAATAGACCCTCGTCTCCAACCAAATTCATTCATTAACAATAACTAATCCTTTCTATCAGTGCAGTCTTGGGACAGAAGCAGAAACTGATTGAGGGGACGTGTTCGCCAGACTTCGAAGTCATCGAAGGGTATCAGAAGATGAAGAAATGACCACGCACGGGGGTGACTTGGTGGGAAAACTGGCAGATGTGCATTAGAAAGGGTGAAACTTCTAACTTTTATCTTCATCTACTGCTTTTCACACCTTAGTTTCTATGAAAACGCGTATTGATATTCACCTGCGAGTGTTGTTTTCCCCAGTCATCCCTTGAAATTTTTTTTTCCCTCCCCTATCGAATTGAAAACAACAGCTGGACTCGCCAAGAAGTATCTTTGAGTTTATTTTCGTCCTAAAACTCTAGATGAATATTAAATGAGTTCTTGAAAACAAATGGTGACCGAGGGAAACGATTTTCATAGAAACTGTCTCGTGAAGAAAACCGCAAATAACAATAGAAGTTGAAAGTTTCGCCCTTTCTGGTGGACATCTGCTAGTTCTCCCATGAAGTCACTTTCGCGCGTCTATGTTTCTTCGAAACAAAGGGTGACTGGGGAAACCACACGCAAGGTCGAATATCAATACGCATTTTCATAGAAACTGAGGTGTGAAAAAAAGACGAAGATAAAAGTTGAAAGTTTCACCCTTTCTAATGCACATCTGCAGAATTGTTTTTACGTGAAGTAAGGGCATGGGTCGAATGAATAATTAAATATACATTCTGTGCAATTTCATAAAGCTGTGACGATAGAAGGGAATTCTTTGTTCTTCTGACTTGGCAGATTCCTACAAATAAAATGGCGTCGGCCTTGCCCTGGTCCTTGCCGTTAAATAATTTGCTATTTTTTTTGCATAAATAAGAAAAGCATGAGAAGAGAGCGATGCGTTCCGCTACTTTCAATATGGGAAAAAAGTTTCATTGATTCTCATTGCATAAAATCCAAGAAAACTTGTTTTTGGTAAACGTCTTTTTGTGGTCGGTTCCGTTACCCCTTAAGTTCCCACTTCGTTGCATGAAAGTTGTTTTTCGTCAATATACAGTTAGAGGGTACAAATATAAATTCAAATTTTAAAACTCTTTATCTCCTTTTTTCTAAATTTATACCGGACAATTTATCACCCACGTGTAGAGTCCAATTTCATGTTCCTATCAGTAACGAAGTGGTAAAAGGAGATAAGTCAATTGTGACTATTGATCAATTTTCAATCAATATCTCGGAATCTAAGGGAGATAGCAAAATTTTTATTATCACCTTTTTTGGGGAGCCGATTGAGTGCTACGACAAATGTAATTACGCAAGTTTCGTTATCTCCCCTAGATTTGGAAATATTCCTCAAAAACTCAACTGGAAGATAAGTCGACTTATTTCTGTTGACCACTTCACTAATGAAATTATCTTCATTTCTTTTTTCGGATCCTACACCAGCAATGTCCTCGTCATGAATCCTGGGTTACGCTAAGAGCTGGTGAGGTTAGTTAAATACCTCACTACTCGGTAAAAACAGTACATTTCGACACTAGGCCGTGAGGAACTTTTGTAGCGAATATGAGGTTACAGGACCGAAGGCGAGTTTGGTAATCATATGAGGTAGAAAAGTTACCACGGCCGTGTGTCGAATAACATTTTTTGTTATTAGGCCCGAAAACCAAAATTTAACCGAGCGAAGCGAGTTCGCATGAACTCGTGAATGCATGTTGAACATTGCGTACACGTTTTGCACCGAAAAGCTCATTCATCACTTTTAGAATGATGATGAACTTTTAAAAAATTCTCTGAAAATTTTTATATTTTCTTATAAAGAAAAAACAATTCAGTCGAATCGCCGTGACGGGTGGACTTGAATAGAATTGTACAACACCTTCAACGCGCGAATTTTCACCCTTCCACCTCGTTTCGTGGAATACTACTTCATTATTCATTCGATCTAAGTTTTTCCTCCACAAAGAATAATTCTGTCAAGTCCAGATGTTGTTTTCTGACTTTATAGAAAATAGAGACGTTATTTTTTATGAGAGATACGTGGTCAGTTGGGAGTACACCAGCAGTATTCCTCATGCTTTTCGTAAGTATACATCACAGTGAGAATAAACACAGATGATGGACTTCTGGGATCAAGACTATTTCAGAGTTGTCAAGATAACAACATGTTTGGTTGGACAATGGCCTTATCAGTCTTCGAAAGAGGTCATTTTTTCTCGTTCAATAATAATCATTCTAGTTATTATTCATCTGATACCGAGGGTAACGTACAGCCCTTGCTAGCTTAAAACTTCTGCTTGATATTACTTCAATCAACTATTGCAGATTAGAGCCCTGATCCTGTACGGTGATGACCCTGAGATTATTCTCAGCGTTAGCAGTCCTCTTATAATTGACATAGTATTTGTCTTCAAAACTGTCAACAATTCGTATAATTTTAAACGGGTATCTTCACCAGCGTCTCCGTCAGCTTTAGAAAGTACTGACTTGAGTTATTCCTTCCAGATGAAAAATCTATTGAGGAAAATTTACGAGAATTGGAGAATATTCTCGACGGATGAATTACAAATATTACATCAGTACTCCGCATCAGGAAAGAAATCAGCAACGATATATCTAGGTTGGTTGTTCACTTTATCTAAGGGAGGGTAAATAAATCTTGAGATTTAAACGGAAGAACAATGTGATCGCACGCAGAAAAATAATTCCGTTGGGATATTAGCCAAGGTGTGCGTTACCGCAGCGGATGTCTTCCGCTCGGGTCTGATTTGTTAGAATATGGAGCCCATGTGACAAGTGATCCCAAAATTCATATAAAAATGTCAGAAAAATCAAAATTAGTCAGTCTTGAAGCAACGACGGAGCAGTAACAATTCTGGTGGAAATAGTTCATTTAATTGGTCCGGTTTTTCAATCCTTCCTTCGATTACGCGGGATAGTACTGAATTAATAGTAAGTTATGAACAATTGAAATTATCCGGGAATAAAATTTCTTTAATCTAGAGTAGTGATTTTTCTTACAAATAAGGAATTCGTTCATTGTGACGCGTCAGTCTCAAACAAACTCTTAAACTCTTAAAATTCAACTGTCGAAATTTAGTAAAATATCAACGAGTAGAAGAAAGTGTTTCCGTGAAAGTATCCATAATAGCCTTAGCACGACTAATTGCTGGTGAGGAAATTACGGATTTACCCAGGGATCTAGAAACACATCGATTAATTTATGAAAAACAGACCGAATTGTGAGTAACAAAATTTGTAAACCCAAATTTGAATCCTTCAGATGATTCCAGGGGTAGAAATTTTAACTACATAGATTTCTGTAAAATCACGCTTATGTTTTTGTAAACCGAATAGTTATTCAAAATATATTTAAATTTAAATTTGATTCCCATTACAACTCCAAATTTCTTGATTAGTAATTAGTCTCAACTCAAACCCTACCCCTAAATCAAACCCTTTTCCTTTATATTTTAGAAAAAGGTAAGAGTAACAAACTTTGCGTCGTCCAATAATTATAAAATCTAATAATTTTAGCTTTGATTTTAATGTGACAATTAAAACATGTCCTTTCGACGCTAAAATCTTTCTCCGGACATAACATTACAAATATGATATCTCGTGTTATTAATAAATGAAAATTAACCTTTAAGCTCTTGTTACCAAACGTTCAGATGTCACTGAATCACTAATTTTAGGAGTCGTAATCGGTAGTGCTGGTTTATTCATAACTCAGCCACTGCAACTGCAACTTGTGCACATACTCATGAAAACAAACGAAACGATACGACTATTTCCCGTGCCAGTGGACTACGGTTCAATAAATGTGGACAAATATTACTGGAGTATTACGCTATTGACAGAATTCACAACAGTACTCATTGCCCTTGGAATCGTTGCTTGTGATCTGTTATTCTTCACGTACTCGTATCACGTCTTTGGATTGTTTGCAACACTGGGGTAATGTTGGCTCTCATTCATTGGAGTCTATTTGCTTTTCATAGTACAAGTGAATGACGTTTCTACTTTTAATTAAGATACACCATCGAACATCTACCGATTGACAATGATAATGGATTTAGCGATGAAATGCACGTCAAACGTTGCATTAAATTGCATTATCGGATCATAGAGTACGTCATCAGACATCATTATGCTTCTTGTGTTCCAATGCTCCATTTTTTGATAGATTTGCCAATGAGCTTGAGGACCTCTATAGATGGACATTTCTCGCTGTTATAGGCTTTAATATGATTTTAATCAGTATAATTGCTGTAGAGGTAATGGTATAATACGTCTCACTTTGATTTTTCAAAATGGACAGTTGAATTTTCATCAACTTTCTCTCACCAGCTCGTAGTCAATTTGGGATCTGCTGGAAAAATGATTCAGTATGGTTCGCTAACTGTTTCACCATTTGGACATCTTTTTGTGGAGTGTCTAATGGGGCAGCGTCTGATAGATCATAGTCTTGGTATACAAGAATATATGTAAATATCCCCGATATTGTAGTCATGGTTATTTGGAAATATTTCAATATCCTTGTGCGATTAATCATTTAGATCAAATGCACAATGGTGCGACAGCTCAGTCAAATCCCAAAAGATGATAAACTTGTTCCTCATGAGGAGCCAACTCCCGTGTCAGCTGACAGCTGGGAAATTATTGGTCATGAATTTTGAGACCTTCAACACGGTAAGATGCTTATGATTTCAGGCTTTTCATCGAAATAATATTCGAAATTGCTTTCACTGCAGATCGTCCGAACTTCCGCTTCATACTTCACAGTTCTCCTAGCTACGCAATAAAGATGAGTTTACGTGATTTTTATAATTGTCATGATGTATCTCATTATAACTGTCAGAACTGATTGTTGAACTGATTGATGTGCTCTCCAATAAAATAGGTAGAGAATTCAAAGCACAAATTACCTTATCTTTATGTTACGTCTCATCGCTGAAAGAATGAGAATATCTACGTATAGAACTTATACATACGTCTGTGTGAGTAAATTGAAATTTGATATGACGAAATTGATTAAATTAATTCGAATTGAATGAATTTATTCTCCTGCTTCGTGAATAGTTCTCTGCTCAATCTTGCATTTTCTCGACGTTATTTTTTATGAGGAATACGTGGTCAGTTGTGAGTGCACAAGCAGTATTCCTCATACTTTTCGTAAGTATACATCACAGTGAGAATAAAGATGGATGATGAACTTCTGGAATCAAGACTATTTCTCTTTGGCCGCTAATCCTCAATTCTGATTAGCGTCAATGAGTCACGGAAAGTAGTCGCTGAAAAAACTCCTCGGTATTTTCAAATTCTTCAAATGCCAAAAATTTTTTCTGCGTCACATTTTTTATTTTTTCATGTATGAGGTTTTTCTCTATATCAAAACATATCTAAATTGCCTAATTGTTGGTCATAAGAAAAAAATACATAGTATTTCTAAATTTTTTTAACTCACAAATTATTCTTCACTTCCCAAATTTTAATTTTTTCATATCTGTCATACACAAAAATGATCAATTTTTGCTTCTCAGATTTTCATACATAAATTCTAAACTCTACAAAATTTATGAAAATTCTTCGGTTTCCCAAATAATTCGAGAAAAATCCTTGAAGATCTACGGTTATTTGGAAAAATGTGAAATTTTCCGAAGATTTCAAGAAATATTTTCAGTTTTCTAGGAAATCAATTCATAACCCTCCCCTCATTTTTTAACAATTCCCGATTTTACATTAAATTAATTTAATTTAATGAATCAATTTAATTAACAGCCAGCCCTTCTTAAATGTACAGAAGGGAGGGATGATGATACCGCGAATGATCTTGAGAAAAAAAATCACCAAATGTCTATTTATTTATTAGTGTTATTGTTATTATCATTATTATAATTTATTAATGAAATAAATAAAAATTTAATTGAACATATTTTATCTCTGAGAATACACACGCACATCCGCGAGATCAGGAATAATCGTAAATTCAACGAATACCGATAAAAATCATATAGGCAATGTACAGTTTACTCCATAGTAATAGCGCGATAGCGTAGTGGTTAGGGCATAGGATTAGCAATCATAGAGTCCCCGGTTCGATCCCCAGCATCGGTAAAAAAATAATAAGCTTTTTCAGAGGTAATAATAGTAGAGATTCATTAAGAGAGGCAGCCTACAGTGGAAGAATTGAATTATCGTTTGTTTTGGATTAATTATCATTGATAATTGTTATTGATACTGACAGACAGGTCATCCGGTTTTCATACAGTTGACTTGATCAAGTTCGGATCCATTCATCCTGATCAAATCCGGATTGGTCAGAGGCGTAACATGTCTGATCAAGATCGGATCCGTCAAGTTGATCAATACCTGATCAGTGGTCAGGTCTAACCTGATCCAAACTTGATCAAGACCTGACCGGAGTTTCCACTCGGGTATATTTCCCGTGCCAATGGACTACGGTTCGATCAATGTGGACAAATATTACATCATTATGCTTCTTGCGTTCCAATGCTCTATTTTTTTATAGATTTGCCGAAGAGATTGATGACCTCTACAGGTGGACCTTTCTCGCTGTAATAGGATTTAACATGATTTTAATCAATCTGACGAGTGTGCAGGTAACGGTATAATCCGTCCCACTTTGATTTTTCAAAAGCGTCTGGTAGATCATAGTCTTGGTGTACAAAAATATTAGTATATTTCGTAGCGAGTGCAAAAAACATTTTTTCACGAGTTACGAACAATATTTTTCATCACAATGTGGCGGAAATTGGACTTTTAGGCACGCGGAGCATGCCGAAAAGTTCACTTTTCGTCACAGCGTGATGAAAATGTAAATATCCCCGATATTATCGTCATGGCTATTTGGAAATATTTCAATATCCTTGTGCGATTAATCATTTAGATCAAATGCACAATGGTACGCCAGCTCTGTCAAATCCCAAAAGATGATAAGCTTGTTCCTCATGAGGAGTCAACTCCCGTGTCAGCTGACGGCTGGGAAATTCTTGGTCATGAATTTCGAGACCTTCAACACGGTAAGATGCCGATCATTTCAGGCTTTTCATCGAAATAATGTTCGGAATGGCTTTCACGGCAGATCGTAGGAAATTCAGCTTTATACTTCACAGTTCTCCTAGCTACGCAATTGAGATGAGTTTACGAGATTTTTATAATTGTCGTGACGTACCTCATTATGAATGTTCGAATTGATTATTGAATTTATTGATGTGCTCTACAAGAAAGTAAGGAGATATAATGCAAAGCACGCGATGAGGTATGTTTATGTTACTGGTCATCTTCGAAAGGATGAAGATCCATTGATAATACGCCGAGACATTCAATTAAAGAATTAAATTAACAATTTGCTTCAGAATGGATTCTCTTTCTTGAAATTCCTATTTCACTGTTCTCTTTTTCTATTTTGTCATGTCATAGTACTATCATGGATTGAGAAGTCATCAAAATTTGGTTACCGCTCTAAATATCACAAAAGGTGAATAACACACGTCAAAATTTCACAGGAAAATATCACCATAAAAAAATATCACTGGGTAATATCATCAATAATAATAACATCACAGCGATAAATATCACAATTTTATAAGAAATTGTGGTATATTTTTTCAATTCCTGAGTGTACTGCAGACAGAACAAGCTACAACAGAAGTCACATGTGCACAATTCATAGCTGGAAGGACAGTGGAGATAAGGAAAAGGAAGAAATATCGTGATCACGACGCTCGTCTACATGCCCTGGTTGATGCATTCGACGCTAACGCTGATGTCCTACAATACCTCCGTGGAATCGCTCACAATATACAATTATAATTTGTTCGTGAAATCGCTAATGATATTTTGCTTAATGATATTTTCTCAGGTGATATTTTGACCGATGATATTTTTGAGTCGTGATAAATTGAGCTTGTTATATTTGTNACCGCGAATGATCTTGAGAAAAAAAATCACCAAATGTCTATTTATTTATTAGTGTTATTGTTATTATCATTATTATAATTTATTAATGAAATAAATAAAAATTTAATTGAACATATTTTATCTCTGAGAATACACACGCACATCCGCGAGATCAGGAATAATCGTAAATTCAACGAATACCGATAAAAATCATATAGGCAATGTACAGTTTACTCCATAGTAATAGCGCGATAGCGTAGTGGTTAGGGCATAGGATTAGCAATCATAGAGTCCCCGGTTCGATCCCCAGCATCGGTAAAAAAATAATAAGCTTTTTCAGAGGTAATAATAGTAGAGATTCATTAAGAGAGGCAGCCTACAGTGGAAGAATTGAATTATCGTTTGTTTTGGATTAATTATCATTGATAATTGTTATTGATACTGACAGACAGGTCATCCGGTTTTCATACAGTTGACTTGATCAAGTTCGGATCCATTCATCCTGATCAAATCCGGATTGGTCAGAGGCGTAACATGTCTGATCAAGATCGGATCCGTCAAGTTGATCAATACCTGATCAGTGGTCAGGTCTAACCTGATCCAAACTTGATCAAGACCTGACCGGAGTTTCCACTCGGGTATATTTCCCGTGCCAATGGACTACGGTTCGATCAATGTGGACAAATATTACATCATTATGCTTCTTGCGTTCCAATGCTCTATTTTTTTATAGATTTGCCGAAGAGATTGATGACCTCTACAGGTGGACCTTTCTCGCTGTAATAGGATTTAACATGATTTTAATCAATCTGACGAGTGTGCAGGTAACGGTATAATCCGTCCCACTTTGATTTTTCAAAAGCGTCTGGTAGATCATAGTCTTGGTGTACAAAAATATTAGTATATTTCGTAGCGAGTGCAAAAAACATTTTTTCACGAGTTACGAACAATATTTTTCATCACGATGTGGCGGAAATTGGACTTTTAGGCACGCGGAGCATGCCGAAAAGTTCACTTTTCGTCACAGCGTGATGAAAATGTAAATATCCCCGATATTATCGTCATGGCTATTTGGAAATATTTCAATATCCTTGTGCGATTAATCATTTAGATCAAATGCACAATGGTACGCCAGCTCTGTCAAATCCCAAAAGATGATAAGCTTGTTCCTCATGAGGAGTCAACTCCCGTGTCAGCTGACGGCTGGGAAATTCTTGGTCATGAATTTCGAGACCTTCAACACGGTAAGATGCCGATCATTTCAGGCTTTTCATCGAAATAATGTTCGGAATGGCTTTCACGGCAGATCGTAGGAAATTCAGCTTTATACTTCACAGTTCTCCTAGCTACGCAATTGAGATGAGTTTACGAGATTTTTATAATTGTCGTGACGTACCTCATTATGAATGTTCGAATTGATTATTGAATTTATTGATGTGCTCTACAAGAAAGTAAGGAGATATAATGCAAAGCACGCGATGAGGTATGTTTATGTTACTGGTCATCTTCGAAAGAATGAAGATCCATTGATAATACCCCGAGACATTCAATTAAAGAATTAAATTAACAATTTGCTTCAGAATGGATTCTCTTTCTTGAAATTCCTATTTCACTGTTCTCTTTTTCTATTTTGTCATGTCATAGTACTATCATGGATTGAGAAGTCATCAAAATTTGGTTACCGCTCTAAATATCACAAAAGGTGAATAACACACGTCAAAATTTCACAGGAAAATATCACCATAAAAAAATATCACTGGGTAATATCATCAATAATAATAACATCACAGCGATAAATATCACAATTTTATAAGAAATTGTGGTATATTTTTTCAATTCCTGAGTGTACTGCAGACAGAACAAGCTACAACAGAAGTCACATGTGCACAATTCATAGCTGGAAGGACAGTGGAGATAAGGAAAAGGAAGAAATATCGTGATCACGACGCTCGTCTACATGCCCTGGTTGATGCATTCGACGCTAACGCTGATGTCCTACAATACCTCCGTGGAATCGCTCACAATATACAATTATAATTTGTTCGTGAAATCGCTAATGATATTTTGCTTAATGATATTTTCTCAGGTGATATTTTGACCGATGATATTTTTGAGTCGTGATAAATTGAGCTTGTTATATTTGTGATAATGAAATTTTGATGAAAGTTATTTTGATGTGATATTTTTATTTTGTGAAATTTAGAGCGGCTACCCAAAATTTTGCGTATTATTTCGTTCTGTCAAATAATTCTACATTCAAACCCTCTTAAGACTCGAATTCGTTTTCAGTTCAGGTTCAATCAAGGTTCAATTAAGGTTTAATCAGTGTATAGCCGGGATTTAATCAGGGTTTATTCAGGAATCCCATCATATTCTGATAGAATCAAGAGGGCATTGTTATCAATTTATGAGCCGCAGCTCATTCCATTTTGATAACAATTTTTTGAGTGATCGTTGAGAAATCGACTTTTGGAAAAATATCAATTTTTTCGAATCTGTATGAAAAATTGAATTTTAATTCATGTCAATGAATGGAGCTTAATAAAGTCTGTATTCATGCAATTCGATTGATCATATGCATACATACACACATATAGATGCAATCTAAAAATAAAAAAATTGAAACTTAAATTTGCGCGATTACAAAAGCTTCCTTTTGGAAGCCACAAGTAGACTTGTTTTACTGTACGTGTCAAAATAAATTTCAATCACTCTCGTTCGCCTTGCGTATTAATACCCGACCAACCACAAATCCTTTAAACTTCAAAAGGCAAGTCAATTGCACTATTTATTCCACTCTGTGTTCTTCAATCTTACCTGAATAATCCGTATAGGAGCACATCCGAAAAGTTACTGCGAAGAATTATTTTCCCAGATGTGGAAATGTGAATGCCCGAGGTGAATTTGTCGGAAAACTGTCCCTCGCACATTGAAGAAGGTAAAACCTTCAACTTGTATTTTTATTTTTGTTCACCATTTTCTCCACACCTTAGCAGCTCCAGAAAATCGCATTGCGTGTTGTTTCCACCGTTCACCCTTTGTGTTCGAAAAGCTCGTGTGATATTCCCCCCGTGTCTGAATAAAAATAAACTTCTAGACACCTCTTGCCGAGTCCAGATATTTCCGATGCGATAGGGGAAAAAAGAATAAACTCCCAGGAAAAGTTAGTATTTTTGCGAAAAGAAACAAAGAGCCCCTTGTCATCTTCGCACTATCGATTCTTATGGAATTGTACTGCAATAGCTTGGCAGTGTGAATTTTCACCCTTCCACTTCGGCTTCCAGAACCGATACTTCATTATTCATTCAATCGATATGTTTAACTCCACGCGAAACGAATTCTGTCAATTCCAGATGTGGTCTTCTGACTTTATAGAAAACGAATTAATTTTTTTCATGAGGGAGGGTTACGTGGTGATAGAGTCGGCAGTATCCCTCATGCTCTCATAAACTTCCGCCTGGGTAAGGATAAAGATAGATAATGGATAAGTTTTGGGATCAAGATTATTTCAGAGTTCCTAGGATAACAGCATGTTTGGTCGGACAATGGCCTTATCAGTCTTCAAAGGAGTTTATTTTACCTCGTATTGTACTCCTCATTCTGGTCATTGGTCTTCTGATACCGAGGGTAACGTACTCTTTTTGTGTATTAAAAATATTATTGATTCAAGTAGATTACGACTTGATTCAAGTATTTTTTTATTCGATTTAAGTCGTTGGCTGATCTAATCCATCTGGATTTTTGACGAATTTTGTGTGTAAAGAAAAATTGTTTTATGAGAACCAGTGTCAATCGGGAAGGTACTTGATTCAAGTATCTTCTTACTTGATTCAAGTAGAACTCTACGTGAGTCAAGTCAAGCTTTACGTGAATTAAGTCATCTAGTATCAGGCCGGAATCTACTTGATTCAAGCAGAAAAGATAGTGGTTTTAACTATTTTCCTACTCGATTCAAGTCGAGGTCTACTTGAATTAAGTCGTCAACTGGTGTCGGACCAAAATATACTTGATTCAAGTTCAAACGATACTTGATTCAAGTAGAAAAGCTACTCAATTCGCATAATTCAAGTACTCTACTTGAATCAAGCTGTCAGTGTTAATTCGGAATTTGCTTGAATCAAGTATCTTTCTACTTGATTTAATTCGAGCTCTATTTGAATAAAATCGTCACCTGATGTCAAATCAAAATCTACTTGATTCAAGTATCTTTCCATGTGATCGAAGTCGACGTCTAGTTGAATTAAGCCACCATTTGGCGTCAGACCGAAATCTACTTGATTCAAGATCGAACGATGCTTGATTCAAATAGGAAAGATACTCAATTCAAGTACGTTCCTACTTGATTTAAATTTAACTCTACTTGAATCAAGTCATCAATTAGTGTCAAGTCGAGCTCTACTAGCATCGACTCATCAATGCAACTTGACATTTTTGGATACTTCACCGAAATCGATAAAATCTACTCGAAAAGAGTTGATTCTCAACTTGATTCAATCCTACTTAGATCAAGTAGATGCTCCGCATCGGCTCAAATTTTTTTCTCTCCCACTGCACTAAAACGTTTACCGGATATTTCTCTAATGAACGATTGCAGTTTAGAGCCTTGTTCCTGCATAGTGATGATCCTGCGATTGTTCTCAGTGTCACCACTCCGATTGTAATGGATGCAATGTTGGTGGTTAAAACATTCAGCAATGCGTGGAATTTGAAAAGGGTAAAGACATAGTCATTGTCACCAACACTTATGAACACGATTCACGTGCGCCATTCCTTTCAGATGAAGAATCTCATGAACAAAATTTACACGAATTTCGGAATTTTCTCAAAGGATGAATTACAGGTACTCGAGGAGTGGACTATAGCCGGGAAGAAATTATGCAAGTTATATCTAGGTTGACTATTTTCCTCAACTTCGATTCTGAATATAGCCATAATTTTGTTTAGTACTTGTCAAGGTTACGTTTTGGGGGTCTGCGGGGGCCTAGAGTCTTCTTACGCATGAAGTTAGAAATCATTTCATGTGTAGTCAATTAAAGCAGCTCTACCCTTACGATAAATTCAAAGATTATTGAAAAATATGACGAGCTTGTAAATTCAAGCTTTGTTTGCAAAATCAATGATTATTTAACAAGAAAAACCCAATTTTCTCGAATTTGCAAGAGGACTGGGAAATTGAGGGAACACTTTAATTTAAATTGAATTCAACCTCAGAACATCGAAAATTCAGATGACGCTATGACTGAAACTTCAAGAAATTTTTAACAATGTAGCTCGGCCGAAGGCCAGAGCTACTTTAATAAGAACTCGAGGCCCGCGAAATTCCTCGGAAAAGTGAACTCTCAAGACTAGTGATGCCACGAGAGACTTTACAAGACATCACGGGACAATACTTTGGAGAGATGATCCCGGTCTCAATGAACATGGGAATCCTTGGTTTCATCTCAATCTCGAAATAGGGGGAACCAACTCCTCTTATGATGACTCCGGGTCAATTTATCTCATCTCGGTCTTCGTTTTTCGTATTTTTACTGTAAAATCTCGGTTTTTGTCTCATCTCGTTTTCTATATATAAAAAACGCGAAAAACTGGACACAGAGGTGAGATAAATTGACTCGGAGTCATCACTTGAGGAGTCGATACTGCGCATTTCGAGACAGAGACGACACCAACAATTTCCGCGTTCACTGAAACCGAGATAATCCCTCCAAAGTATTGTCTCAAAATGTCTCGTAAAGTTTCTCGCGGCATCACTACTCAAGACGCACTTGAATCAAAGTTTTGGCAATCGCTTCACTTCTTTCAGGAGCATTAGTAGGTGGTGTTGGAATATTCATAACCCAGCCATTACAACAAGAGCTTGTCCACAAGCTTATGAGAGCAAACGAAACGAACCGACACTTTCCGGTGCCGGTGGACTATGGTCCAATTGATGTGGACAAATATTACTGGAGTCTTTCTCTTCTGACAGCAATCACTACAGGGTACATGGCAATTCTCACAGTCGCTTGTGCGACATTATTCATTATGCTGACGTACCATACTCTCGGATTGTTCGCAACACTGGGGTAATGTTGGGCCGCATCTATACGGGTTTACCTAATTTCCATCATATAGGTGCATGATAGTTCTATTCTTCTATTAAGATACATACTTAACCATCTGCGAATTGACACTGATGACGGGCCAAACGATGAGTTGTATGTCAGACGTTGCATTCAGTTACATTATCGCATCATAGAGTACGTCATACATCATTACGTTTTCTGCATTCCAATTATCTATTTTTGCTTCCGAATGGAAGCTTTGTAATCGTTCACATTCAAGTTTTGGATTTTTTGTATTATATCGACCCAGTATGATTCAAAAAATCCAAAAATGTAATTTTTAATTTTTTTCTTCAAAGTTGTTGTTCAATTGTTCGCTAATGAATGGACCGATTGAATCTTTTTTATTCAAATGTGGGTATTGTTGGGCCCTATCGATCACCATTAATTAAAATTTAATTAATCGATTAGTTTTTTTAATTTTTTAATTTTTTCGAAAATCGGTGGTCCCACGATAATTAAAAAAAATGTCCTGAATTGATTGAATGATGGCTTTAAAAAATTGTTTGGATATCCCTTTGACCAAGTTCGCAGATGAAGGCGATAGCAATAATCGTTATTTTGATTAATTTGAAAATTTGCAAAAATTTGTATTTTTTGAAAATCAGAATTCCGGAAATATCTTTGAATATCATGCTTCAAATCAATTCAATCATAGCTTAAAATGTTGATTTTAATGCCATTAAGTCCAAGTTAAAAGATGATTACGATAGTTATATTGGTTGATTTGATTTTTATGATGATTGCTGAAAATTTCGAATTTTTCATGAATTTCCCTCAGAGTGAGCTTTTTGATGGTGTCTTCAGAACGATGAACTGTTCGACTGTTTGAGTCTCTGTCAATGATGACACGAGACAGTGTTAGTCGAGAAAACCGTGAGACTGCTTAGCTCAGCGAATTGGGCCTTTGCCAAGTTTTGAGGACTCTGGAAGCACCAGAGTACGATCGGGAGCGAAATAGAGCGAATCTCCAAGCTCAAAAGTCTAAGTCCGATCTCTTAGCAACGCGTAACCGAACCCAAGTCGAAACCCTGTCGTGTATTTTAGTCAACAATTATGAATAATACATCTATAGCTTTTACCAGATAAATACACCTGTGTTTACAATTAGCCTCTTTCTCAATAAACGCCAGAAAATCCGATAGGGGCGCTAGTGATGGCTGGGACAAATAGTTGCGCTCAAGTGGCAAGGTAGGTAACCGAATTTAAAGATCTGATCAATTAGCCCCTCATGTATAGATATTCCAAATTTTTATTTTTTTCCTCATTGAAGTAGTTTTGAAGAAAATTGCGAGCTAATAAAAGACATTTGCTAGTTGGTACTTTTTTTAAAATAAATTTTTGAAAAATCACCCCTGAAAAAAAGGCGTCACAGCGTGATGAAAAAGTAGTTTTGACGAAAGATGATGTCCCAGGTGCAAGATTACCTTAAGCAAAAGTAAGCCAAAACCTCGTCTCGGACTTGAAACGGTGGCTGGTATGTCGAAACATCAACTCCAATGGTTTAAAAATCGAGTTAATCACAAGGTTAGAATTTTTCAGGAACAATTAATCACTTCGTTGATCACAAACAGTTATCCGGAATTTGTCTTATTTTGCGAAAAATAGGAACCTTTCATCTATATTCTCACGTGTTTTGTTGTGACCCTTCTATCCTTCTTGTTTTGATTTGTGATATGTTGAAACTTTGACCAGGTGGCGTGACGATTTGTCCCAACCGACCATGTGGCCCTCGCGTGGCGAATTCTTCAAGTTTAATTGAGAAAGAGGCTAGTTACATACGTCCCCAATCCTTCATAACCATCCCCGAGTGAGCGAGCCCTCCCGTGAGCTTACCGCCGAAGTTAGCCGAGGTCGGAGTGACAACTGAGGACCCAAGGATTCCAGTGCAGGAATAAAACAGTGCAAAGTGCAAGGCAAAGTGTAGTAGTAAGAAGGGTAAAATCTTTACCTGAGTTTTACCTCCGGGTAAAACTCATAACGTCACAATGATGATGATAACATTCAACTAAGTTGAAAATCTGACAAAATTAGTTGAAAAGAAATCTTATTCAATTCAATAAAATGAACTAAATAATGAATTATGCATAATAGAAGAAAATGATGTACAAAATAACCATTCGGAAGCATATTGCTAATTTATTAGCAAAAATAACTATACTATATGCAATACAAGAGCAATTTCCCACTTGTTTTGATAGGTTCGCGCAAGAAGTGGGGGGAATCTACTTGTGGTACTTTCTCGGCGTTATCGGGTTGAATATGATTCTGATTAGTATCATTGGTGTTGAGGTAATGGTGTCATATCACCTGGGTATTCAAAACGAAGATGACATTTTATGTAATTTGCTTTCCACCAGATTGTAGCCCACGTGGATGCCGTAGGAGAAATGATTCAGTACGGTTCGGCGACAATCCTATCGTTCTCACATCTTTTTGTCGAGTGCCTCATCGGTCAGCGTCTCATAGATTACAGTCTCGGTATTCAAGAGCATGTGTAAATATACTCAAGCCCATCACCCCCGCTAATTGGAAACATTTAATGATCATTATGCCATGAATTATTTAGATCTAATTCACAATGGTACGACAGCTCGGTAAAATCCCAAAAGATGCTGAGGTTACTCCTCATGAGGAGCCAATACCCCTGTCAACTGACTGCTGGAAAACTACTGGTCATTAATATGGAGAGTTACAGCAGGGTAAGAACCTGATATATCTAACGTCTACGTTCTTTTAGATGACAAAATTTTCAACACTTCGTCTTCTACAGATCATACGGACCTCGGCTTCATACTTCACAGTTCTCCTAGCTATGCAATAACAAGCCCGCGATAGTTCCTGGGTTGTGATGACGACGTTCCTTATTATGTCTTTGTTAGGTTTGATAGAGTCGTAGAGTAATAGAATTCTTCTTCTCCCTCTTCTTCAATTTTTATGGCAATGACTACTCGTCTTGCGGCCGCAGTAATAGAATTTAATCTTAGCAATTCAAGATACACTTCATCACTTATTTCCATACCTAAAACTAATTATTTACTTCAATATTGGAGTCATGCCGTAGGACATCGTTTGCCTCCAGGCATTTCATTCCACACTTTTGACTTTTTTTCATAAATTGAAATCAATCTAATCACGTTACAAAGCGAGAGAATCGTACCTTCCACAGAGAAAAAAAAATTAAAAATTGCATGACTCGTCAATATTAAGAAGTAATTCAAAAGTGTCCATCTTGCCCCACTTGACTCGAATGGATCTTTGAATTATTGGTAAAATATTTCAAACAAATGTAAATTTCGAATCCCATGAAGACCGACGTCCAGTGGTCGCAGTCGTTAAATCGTTAGTTTGGCTTGACCACTAGATGGTCGTGGGTTCGAATCCCAGCCGGGGTGGAATTTTTAACTTCTGATCACAAGGGTTGGGGATTCCACTGAGCGGCTGAGGTTCGGATCTCGGCTGGGAAGGCCCCTCAACTTCTGCGAGGAGGTTTAAGGGCCTACCTGGGCGGGGTTCTGCTTATCAGGGCTCGGTCTATCTCGGCTCTGGGCGAGCGGGAGGTTGCTAACAGAGTAACCAATTGTATCGACATGGATTTTCTGTGGTTTCCCATATCTGTTCAGTGACAAGGAGTGAATACGGTACAGCGCACAAAATCGGCCACAGCCGCAGTAAAAGGTAGGGAGCTAGGGTGGGGGCTACGATGGTATCAATCCTTACGGATTAATACGACCACCTCTGCTTCAGGGTACGTGCCCTGTTGAAAAAAAACCATTGAAAACCCCCGTCGCTGATAAACTTACATAACGTAGGTATAAGTAAGGCGACGTTAAAAAAAATAATCCCATGAAGATTACATAAATCTTCAGTAGATCATACTACTTTTCCAAACCTGAGTTTATGAATCCTACTTGAATGTTCCGTATCCCAACCAAATCTCCATTTGAGCCATTTCCAAAGAATTCCTTTCAAAATGTTGAAACCAACGAAAGATATCACTTCGTCCAAAGGAGGTGGTATTCCTCAAAAGTTGAATTTTTCCGCATAAAATTGAAAAAAAAAACAATTTCTTTCGTTCTTCTCGGGGATATAGACTAAAGTGCTGTACGCACGGACACATGAAACACTGTGACGTCCCCACCGTGCGTGTGAATTTTCACCCTTCCACTGCTTCCCAGAATTCCCCATCTATTATTCACATAAAGTTTTTTTCACTCTACCAGAAGACACTTCTGTCAAGTCCAGATGTTGTTTTCCGACATGGAAGAAAAAGAAAATGTTTTTCACTTGAGCTACGTGGTCTTCAGTTATTGCGCCAGCAGTATTACTCGAGCTTTCATGAACCTAAACTAAGAAGAGATGGACTTCTGGGATCAGGATTATTTCCGAGTTTCCAAGATAACATCATGCTTTGTTGGACAATGGCCAAATCAATCTGTGAATGCGCTCATTCTTTCGCGTGGAATGTTATTGACCCTGACTGTTATTCAACTGATACCAAGGGTGACATTGCAAACATTTGCTTTGGTAATTGGTACATATAACTACTCCAAAAAATTTTTCGAGGAAGCTGAATTATTTCGTCATTTAACAACAATAAGAATTTAAAATCAATAAGAACATTGAGCCGGACTCGATTAGGTAAATAACTTCGTACCAGCTGCGGTCCCATCGTGAACCCTGGGTAATGCTAAGTGCTGGTGAGGCTTGATACGCGCTTCGCTAATCGCTGAATTTATATGAACAATTCATAAGTGAAATTTAAAAAACTGCTTTTAGAAGGAAAGGCATAGAATGGGAGGTCCCGTACACTGAGAGAAAAACAACGAATTTCTCAAACAAGTTTTACTTGTGCCAAGAAAATAGTTTTCTGAAAATTATCAAAAAGATATGATAGTTTCTTCATGCGTTGTTGATTTTTTTATCTTTCATCTCTGCCAATTTCATTGGTAGCAAGCTTCCGAATGGATCTGTTGTAATTCTATTTTTTAAAAATAATGAGAAAATGAAAATTCTGTTTTGTGGTGAATAAAAAATTTCAGTTTCTGTAAGACGCAAATTCTCCGATTTTCTCAATTTTCAAGTAAAACAAGATGAAACCTCGTGCCAAACTTCAGATTAATATGTAAATTTTTCCAAAGTTAGAGTGCAAAAACGGATTTTTAGCGAAAAATCGAAAAATTTGAATTTCTCGGGAACTTTGCATGAATTACTTGCATGGATTGTGCATATTCCAATTGGTTGGAATAGGAGACATTGAGATGAATATTTTGAAAAAAAAAATTGAAATCGGTTGAGTAGTTTTTGAGATTTTCAAGAAAATAGATTTAGATACAAAGTCGAATATCTTCTCAACTCTCCATCCGATTTAGCCCATCTTCAATACCAAACATTTTAGTGCCAAGAGAAAACTTTGTACCAAATTTCACGTTAATATGGCAATTTTTAGAAAAACTAGAGTGCTAACAAAAATTTTCAGCGAAAAACCGAAAAATAGAAATATCTCGAAAACTTTGTATGAATGGGTATAGATATTTTGATAGATTGCGATAGAAGACATCAAGACGAGTATTCTGAAAAAAAAATTGAAATCGGTTGGATAGTTTTCGGGATATTTGCAAAAAACGATTTAAAAACAAATGATGATTTCTCAAAAATGGCTGAACCGATTCAGCTGAACTTTAGCAGAGACTTATTCCTCATTAATACCTAGAATCTCACAGAATTTCAAATTTTTTGGAATTATTTTAGTCCTTTATTCATTCAATCTTCTCCAGTGAACCAAGCTGACCACGCGCACATACATACATGGTCCTCAAACTTTGTATTTTTACGTTTTAGACCATTCTACATCATTTCCGGGCAAAATTAGAGAATCGAAAAATCGCACGATTTCAATGCTTCCACTCAGAAGCAAAAAGGATTTTTTTGTGCCAAACATGCAGAGAGTGTGCCGGAATGAAACATTTTTGTCGCAAAAATAGATTTAGTAGTTCAAAAAAAAATTGCATTCTCTGTACACGCAAGAAATATCATTTCTAGCACTACTCCTTTATTATTCGGTACTTCCATACGTATTTTGCTTCAGAAAAATATTTGTTTTATGTAAAACAAGGGATAGTAGTTTTTCGTTTCGGCTGTCTAATAATCATAGACAACAAATGAACCCTTAAATAAATAGTTATTTTCATCACAAGGTCCACAAAGTATTTTCTGACGAATGTGGCTTTGTAGGCCGAGCCGAAGGTGAGGCCTATAATCACATTCATCAGAAAATACTTTTGGACCGTGTGATGAATGCAATTTTTCGTCAGAAGGCCCGTAAACCGCGATCAAACTGAGCGAAGCGAGGTTAGAATCGCGGTTTACCGGGTCTTCTCACGAAAACAATAATAATGATGCGATAGCAATCTTGTAAGTCAGGGATAAAATATTTGTTGATAAATTTTCCGCTGTATGAGATATTTTCATCCTGAAAAGGCACCGTCAGGTGTGAATTATCCACCTCTTGAGCCAAATATTTCGTTGCTGTCGAAAGCAGAACAATTATTCATGTTTGAGACTTTCAAATTCGAACCAAACAAATTCTTTTTTGGCAATTTTCAACTAGCGATTTTGTTGGCCCAAACAAGACTTGTTTGAGACCGTATTTGTTTTTCTCTCAGTGTACATCTACCTGAGCATCCATGTAACAAAGTGTGATGGCTCAAGAGGTTAAATTTATTTATAGCAACCAGGTTCCGATCTAAATGATGTCGATATACTTCAAGACTAACATATAAACTATAATATTTACCTATCAGTAAATCTGAAAAATTGGAGTTGTTATGTTAGCTAATTACTAAACACTTCTCATGCCAAAAACTTCTGTTCAATCAACAATTGCAGATTAGAGCTGTAGTCCTGCACAGGGATGATCCTGAAGTTATTCTCGATGCTATTGGGCCGTTCATAATTGATACAGTATTTGTGATAAAAACCATCAACAATTGGTATAATTTCAAGAAGGTACAGGCTTCGCTGTATTCCTGTCGGTTGTGAACGCTATTCACGCGTTTTCTTTTCAGATGAAGGCACTACTAACTAAGATAAAAGAAAATTGGAAAATTTTCTCGGAGGACGAGTTGCAGATTCTTCACCATTACACCGCATCGGGAAAGAGATTGTCCATCATATATTTAGGTTGATATCGACGACAATAAGAATAATGAGGACAGCAGGATTAATTGTTAATTGTTATGCTATGGAATTACGTTTTGTAGTATCCGTATTCGGTGGAGGAGTTGTATTCGCGACAGAGCCGTTACAATTACGACTTGTGCACACATTCATCGAGACAAATGAGACTCTACCCCTGTTTCCAATGCCAGTGGACTACGGGTCAATAGATGTTCACAAGTACTACTGGGGCCTGTTTTCGTTGGCAGAAGTTACGACATTTCTCATTGTGTTTGGTATCATCTCTTGTGACTTGTTGTTCTTCATCTATTCGTATCACGTGTTTGGATTGTTTGCAACACTGGGGTAATGTTGGTTTATTCCAGATTTAAGAGCATCATTTAATGGTGGCTCGGTTTTTGCTTCCGAATGGAAGCTTTGCGATCGTTGAAATTTGAAAAATGCTCTAAAAAGTCAGAATATGCGATGCATAGTCTATTATCTTCATTTTTTTTTAGAAATTTTCTAAAAAGGGATCACTCGAATTTCATCAATTTTTTCATGAATATAGACTTTAAAATGACCTCTATGCATTGACACGAATTAAAATTCAATTTTTCATAGAGATTCGAAAAAATTGATATTTTTCCAAAAATAGATTTGTCAACGATCACTAAAAAAATTATCATCAAAATGGAATTAGTCATGGCTCAAAAAATTTATGACAATACCCTCGTGATTCTATCAGAATATAATGGGGTCCCACAATTGGTTGTAGAGTTACAGC